CACAGACAACCTCTCGTCAATATGCGTTTTTCGCATTGCATTGCTGCAAAAAACGCATAATTACAATTACTTAATGAACCGGAACGTCTAATTTCTCTCTCTTACCTTCTTTTTTCTCATTTTTTTCTTTGATGCTGTAATCTATTGCACCTTCGCCATCTTGGTTTCCAAGGTCGACTTGATTGCTACAATCGGCTTAAAAAATACGATTCGCAGTGGTTTTGAAGTTTCAAATAGTTATTTTGAATCACCTTTTTTTTAACATTAATTTCTTTAAATTATTGGTGAACAAAGATTTTTACCTTTTTATGGACAATTTTCTTGTCTATTAATCACTTTTTTGTCAATTTTGTTGCACTTTTCAGCTTGTATAATTCATTTCTGATAGATATTGCTCGGTAATAAGTGGCATTTTTCCAGTATAAAAAGTCGAAAGTTCAGCTAGAAAAATGAGGCAATCTCTAGATTCCTTCACTCGCTTTGATGGTAAACTGGTACTGGCATGTGCCCCAGGAATCAAACTCGCCATCAGCTTGCTTTTGAGCAACTCTGAGAAAAGGGTGCTGTCGGAATGTTGCAAGCGAGCGGTTGCTTTTGACATGTTCTACCACTCGGGCTTTTTTCGATCATCTTTGCCTCTAGTAGAGAACGAGTGGAGAGGAATTTTGGATAATTCAGTTCACTCTTTGAAGTTGCTAGTTCGAAAAGAATATTAGTTTTATGTCCGTACATAAGGTGCAGAGAGGCTGGAAAGCTCAATTTACTTTCACGGGAAGCCAAAGTTCCTTGATCTTCTGGGTCTGGTGATGGTGGGTTGCGTGGGAGGGTCGGATAGGGAAGGGGGCAGGGTGCTTTTGATAAATTGCAATTGCTTGGACCATTTTCGAGTGCCCTAGCCTTTCATGAAGAGTAGAATACGTGGTGATTTTAGGTTATTTTCGGTCACAACGAAAAATTCTGCCTAAATATTGTCGAATTATGAGGAAAAAGAGTACCAGTGATTTTTCAGAAAGCGATAAGTGATCCAAATACAGCTGCTTTTATGGTTGAGCCAGTACAAGGCGAAGCAGGCGTTGTTGTTCCGGACGAGGGATATTTGAAAGGTGTACGAGAGCTTTGTACCAAGCATAATGTGCTTTTTATTGCTGACGAAGTGCAAACGGGTCTAGGACGTACCGGGAAGTATGCTTTTTTTTTAATTTTTCTTAAAATATACTTATTTCCTTGCTATAAATCAAAAGCCAATGCGTCCTCTGTTGTCCATTGTTTGTAAGAGAGTGAAGGAAGTATTTCAAGTGATAATTTTTGTCTGCCAAAACGACCAACTGCAAGTGTGTCGAAGGCTTCCTGTTTTGAGGGCTGCTTAAAAGCAAGCTGATGGAAGTTTTGACTCTTTGGCATATGCTAGTACCAATTTACCATTGAAATAAATGAAACTAACTAAAATATTAACGAAATAAAATAACTCAAAAATTATAAAAAGAACCTATTCAAATGAAACTAAATTAAAAATTATAAAAACCGAAAATAGTTCAGAAAAGATATAAAATCAATAAAAATAAAATAAACTAAATAGACAAAACAACAATAAAATAAATGAAATATTTGAACGAATCGTAAAGGGATTGGTTGTTTCCCACTGGCGGAGCTGAACCTTTGACTTTCAGCTCGAGAGCAGCACCACTTACCACCACTGTGCTAAAATGTACATTCTCAAAAAGTGATTTTTTTGTGTCGTTTTGACGGATTAAGATGGCGAATTAAACCGAAGCAATATTCTGAAATACGCATAGGGGGACCCAGAAGGGACTTCTGAGGTCAGAGGGTTGGGGTGGGGGGGTGGAGAGGGGACGGAGGAGGGGGATGGGATGAATCCTGGAACAGTGCGAAAACTAGGAGTGGAGTTTTATAACACAGTTATTTAGAGTTATTTTGGACTTTAGTTTCCGCTTTAGGCCGGGGCTTTTTCGCCGCTGGTAAAGGCGGGGAGGGGGGAGGGGGATCCCTCTCCTTCTTCCCTGGATTCGCCTATGGGAACACGAATTTAAATATTTAAAGAAAAGACTGAATTGTAACGCTTTGCATCCGTACTTTGGTTTTGAATGCTGTTTGCTGCACTGATGGCATGAATGGACACAATAAATCAACTAACAACTGTTCAGGGAGACCAAAGTTCAGATTTTAAATGCAGTGTTAAGGGAACCGTGATAAAGTTGCTGATAAGATGGATCGATATTAAGGGGAGGCATTCATTTTATGTCGTTGTAATACGATAGATATTTATGGATTCTGCCTGTCTTTTCTTCCTCTCTCTCTGGCATAAGATATCACTAAATTATCGTCTTTTTCGTAAGTTAAACGGTAGTCGATTTTGGTACCGCGTATGAACGTGTCGATGGACCGAAGGAACCAAGTTAAGGCCTTTGCCTTTACACATCACTTATAGGATGAGCC